AATCGAAATATACAATCATTAATAAAATGAATAAAAACATCAAAACGATTTAATAATCTATATTTTCGAAAATATCTATATTCAAGAAGATATTCATGAATATTATCCCGATCCCCATGTCTTTTATAATTTGCCTTTAGATCCCGCCACAGCCTCTCGACTTTTTGAGTGTGGATCGATCTGTCATTTGGATCAACAAAATTTTGCTAATGGTTGATCCGATAGTGGAAATAGTTTGAAATTTCTAGCCGATTATATCTAAGATAAATATATTTACATTTATCACCACTTTTGATTTTTTGAAAAAATAAATTCACATACCCTAACCACGAGTCAGTCATTATCGTGGAATCTTGCATAACATTATCTTTAACCACACGATAGGTGGTATCTTGATCTCTTGTTGTGGTGGCACTTAAAAATATCTCATTTGTTTCCCGACATATACCACCAATAATCCATATAGCCTCGGAAGTCAAATGCCGACCACGGTTATATTTACGCTTCCATACATGAGTTTCATCAATTTCAATAACGTGGCCAGGCCCCCCGATCTTTGAATGATTCGAGGCTATATGGAATCCACATACCTTTCGAAATTTTTTAATCCTATATAAGTGAAGTAAAAAACCATATTATACTTTAGATTACCATCTTGAAATTGCCTTCTTATCATAATCTAACTCTTTCGAAGCAGTTAAAATTTTATAACGGCCTAAAAATAATTTTGTTTAATATTTTTTAAAGAATTGGTACTTTTGTACAAGTACACTAGTCTTAAAAATCTCCCAACATCATGAATTCCTTCAAAAATGGAATCTAAAAATTCGTCATTTATGATATATATATATATATATTAATATTACCTTTCCATATTGAATACGATCTACGACACCTACTGCATCGATATCGTAAACTCTTATTGTTTTTTTCAACCCGCATTACGGAATTGCAACAGGTATGTTGTATTCCAGGGGGTATAAATTGATTATTTAGACAAAAATCATAAGCTTTCTCATCATTTTGAGTATAAACAACAACTTCAAAAATATTCATTTTAAAAAAAATGGAAGGAATTATATAATATATATTGGAACTAAAAAAAGGGAACCAAAAAAAGATTTATACCAAAAAAAAAATTAAAAATGGAAAGTTTCGTCTACCAAAAATCTTACCCCTAGCCTTCCCCCTTATTTGCCCCCATCACTTCCTTTAAATAATTGTACGAATTTTAAATTTTAGAAAAAATTATTTTAAAATATCTTAAATAAAAAAAGATATATTAATTTAAAAATATCTTAAATAAAAAATTAACCAATAAGAAAATGAACCAATCATAAAAAAATAACATAAAAACAATAGCTTTCATAAAAAAATTACATAAAAAAAGATCGCATAAAAAAATAACAAAAAATCGCATAAAAAAATAACAAAAAATCGCATAAAAAAATAACAAAAATAATTGCCCCTTAAAAGGTACCCTAACCGATTTCCGATATAACCTTTTTTAAAAAATTTATAACATTTTATTTTCGTTAAAGACGCCATTTTATATCAGATCGGCAAATTTTATAATATTGGCCGATAACCGATATTTTGAAATAGATGAAATATCTGCCAGATACGATCCGATAAAAAATATCGGTACATCCCTAGTTTTAATTATAAAATGGAAATTATAGCATTAACAATTATATTACCTGAAGTATATTGATGATTAAAGATGCAAAAGTCGACAATTTTTGCCCTTTTCCGATATTAATTTTTAATTAAAAACTAAATTAGATCGAATATTGAATTAAAATAACTGAGACAATGAGAAAAACATCAAAATTTATTTTTTTAAAAAAATATGGATCATCTTATATAATTGCCAATAGAAAAATAAACATTATTTCGAAAAGAGAAAGAGAATCAATTTTTCAAATTATTTTTCTATTATTCGTTTACTGTTTTTTAATAATTATCAAAAAATAACACGAATAATGTATTCTATGCAATATATATTTTTTTAATATTTAAAACTGTTTAAGGCAATATAATTGATTTAAAATAATACGTTTATTTAAGAAAAATTATTTATACTTAAAATATGGGTAAAAATAAATTTTATAACAAAATATTATTTTCAATATGCATAATATCACTTAAATCAATTATAATACCTTACAGTGATTTTTAAGATACAGAAGCTATTTTGAGTTGAAAAGTTATATACAACATCATCTATACTTTTTTTATACATTATTCGCGATATTTTTTAAAATAATTACCCAGCCGCGTTAATTTTTTAAGAATATGGTAAACGAATGATAGAGAAAGATAATTGAAAAATTTGAGCTCTTGCTCATTTCGACTTATATTCAAAAAAATTAATTTTGATTTTTTTCTCATAATCATCATTTATTAAATGAGTTATTAATATTGGATTTAACATTCTAATTAATTTTTTTTTATATTTAGAATTAAATATTTAACATCGGAAAAGAGTTAAAAGGCCGATTTTTATATATTTTTAATCACTATTATCTCAAGAAGTATAATTGGAACAACGTATTTACAAATTTTTATCGAAATTAAAAGAAGACCGAAAATCTCATTTTTCTTGAATATTTGATATGAAATGACTCTTATCAGCTTTATGGGAACTGTAAACGTTACTTAAACTCGTACTTTTGAAAAAGGAACGCGATACCGTTATTCGTTACCTTGCGATAAAAGGAGCGCACTCGCTATTCAAAAAAATAACTCATTACTTAATACTAAATATTATATATAAATTTTCTTTTTATTTATTTTTTCCCCACATAGATAATAAAAAACAAAAATAATATATTATCTTTTTGTAATAATTTTTTATTTATTTTTAACCATTGATTTTCAAAATTTTGATCGGATATTCAAGAGCACTTAGTGTTTATCTTAACACGTTCAACTGGCGCAAAGCATGGGAGGGTTGTTATTATTTAATAGATAAAAATTTTAATTGGGGGATATTTAATGATTGTTCTTTATTTTCAAAAAATCTATCTCACAAGAACATTCAAGTCATCAATTTTTTTTATCAGAATTTAATCGAATTCATTTGTTTTTTTAGATTTGAGCTGCTGGAGATCGAGGTTGAAATATTTGAATTAGAGCACAATCTACACAGGCAAAGTGTAGACTTATTGCTCTTAATTTTCTTTATAATATTTCATGCTGGGGTCAGGACATAGGTAAATCATCTTCATCTGAAGAAATATATATTATTCACATATTCTTTATAAAATAAATTATAAGTATTATAAATTAGCATATCCTGATTGATTTAATATTTATTAGATCAACAATTTTCTCTATACAAAATTCAACAACAAATAATAAATAAAATAAAATGAAGAACCTAAGTGGTTGGTCTGAATTAAAACTCGGTCAGCATTATTTATAAAATTTATAAAAAAAATTAAGGCAAAATTTAAAGTAACTAAAGTAACATTTTGCTTTACTGTTACTCACAAAAAAATAAACGTGTTACTCGTTACCTTTTGAAACGTGTAATGAATGGGGTAACGCCGTTAGTAATGACATGATTGTATCAGTAGTATTTATTGTATGTAAATTATTATTTTCATGAAATAACGTTGTTTGTAAAATAATTTTAAATTAATAATTTTTTTATATGAAATCGAATTTGTAAAAAGTATGAGTTTAATATGAAAATAAAGGGAAAAATTTATATTGATTTCTTTTATATAGACATAAAATTTTTAGTATAAGATATGTTTAATGTCTTATCTTAACAATTAAAAGAAATTTTTTTTAACAAATAATACATATAAATACAACACCTCCATTATTTTTCAGAGAATGTTCTTACATAATATATTTATTTATTTTTTCAATTTTATTTACATCTAGCCAATATATTAATATTGTTCCATAATGTATGTCTATGATTTATTACTACTAAAAACATGAAATTCAAATTACTTGCTACTAATAACATTAATAATTTTAAACCATACTGAAAAATATTTAATTAAGCTGTTCTGGTTCCTTTATCAGCATCTCCGCGAATTCATCTTGTACTTCTTCTGTGTTGGCTGATTCCATCTTTTTATTGACTATTAACTTTCTATGTTTATAGAATAAGCATTTATACGTGGTCCATTCATTATAGCTATTTTTACAGACATCGGTTTCTCCAGTATGGATTGAAGGTTCGCTGCATGACTATCGGTTCATATATTGGTCTTTATGACATCCTATGCGACCTATCCATTTCGAAGGATTCCCAAATCCATTGGTTTCTTCGACAACAGATCGCTTTATGTCCATTTCCGCCTCAGGAATAACATGTAATCGGGGTTGTATTCATTCTAGACCATTAGGTCTGCATGGGAAGTTGAACGGGAAATTTAGTCTGGCAGTCAACTCTTCAACCCATACTAGTTAAACCGATGTACATAAAAAGAGTTACAATGAATGGACAACGAGTTGACATGCCTAAGGTACGAGCAGTTTCAAGACCTTTATTAAACAAAGCGATGAGAAACACAGAAGGTGCAAGATGAATATACAGATATGTTGATAACGGAGCCAGAATTAACTATTTTTCAATATGTATTTAAATTATTCATGCTATTAGTAATAATTAATTTGTAATTTGAATTATTCATGTTATTAGTAATCATAGACATATTATAGAACAATAACAGTATATCAGCTAGATATAAAAATATTTGAAAAATTAAATACATATATTATGTAATGGGATCATTCCCCGAAAAATAATGGAGTGTTGTATCCATATGTATTTATTGTTGTATACATTATTTTTAACAAAAATTGATAGGGCTCTGACCGAAAAATATTTTAAAAACCGGGCCAAATTTGAGCTGAAAATTAATTAGATTTACAAGGCACTAATTCAGAACACAAATTTGAGAATATATGCATGCAGTCTATAATTTTTTACAATAATCTATTAATGTTATGCAATATATTTCAATGTATAGTCCGTCATCTATTCAAGTACATGCAATACCATCACCACCTTAGCAGGTATAGATGCTTTAGCCACTGCTGCTATGCAAACTCAAAAGATTATTATGCAACAAAACAATACTGGAAGTTCTGCCAACAATATTAATATCGCATCTTTTCCTCAGTTATGTTAGTAATTTAAATCCAATTAAATTTAAACCATATTAATGATTTTATTTATAGACTTAAAATATCAATATTTTATCAAATTTTTTTTTTTTTTAAAAGTAATTTTGTTTTTGTTTAGTTTATACTCATACTCTAATCAATAAAAATATGAAACTCAAAAATTATTCTAATTTTACTAAAATGTATATTTATTTATAAATTATGGTAACACATTAGCAAACACCAGCAATATACAGCTTAAAAATTTGCCACTATTAAATATCCCAAGTTCTCAACTAATGAAATCTCACAACCAATCCCAGCCACAAATACTGACTTTGCCTAAAGGCTTATTGCAGCACAATTTATCTTCGGCTACTAATTTAAACCTAAGCTCAACAAATCCGCAAAACCCACAAATAATAACCCTCATCAAAACGCCACAAGGGGTTCAATTTGCCCAGGTATACTACATCTAATGTAGCATTTTTTATCTTTATCTTGTAATTTTAAGCTTAAGATGTACATTGATATCTTATTTTTTTAAAAAAACAGGAGTTTAGGGTTTTTGATACATACATACACTAACATTTCTTAAGAGATCAGAAATTTAAATAGTTATAACCGATCATAATCTACCCGATTATGTACATGTTATATTTTCATAAATGTTAAATTGTTAAAATTTAGGTTTTATAACGAATTTTATCACACTTTATTTTAATCAGAATTTGGAACCCTGATTAAAGAGGGTTATATGAATTTTTTTTCAAAAGAGGGTTATGGTCGTGCTTCCTTTATTTGACTGGACTCTTTACAAACTGTTAATATATGCCGAAATTTAAGCATTAAATAAACCCAGCATCTACATGACTAGATTTTCACTGGATGCAAACCACCCTATCTATGCCCATCCCCCTAAAAATTTTTCGCCATCTTGGACTGGGATGTTTTCACATTATTAATTACCCTTTTAATTTGGGCTGTGCCGATATTAAATATCGGTACCGATATTTAGCGTTTTCGGAAAATATCGGATCGGGCCGATACCTATAAAACCGATCCAATCTTTTTACTTTTTTTTGTTATTTTATTTTATGTTATGTGTATCTATTTTACATTATTATAATATTTTCTAAATAATTTTTTTAAATTTTATTTCTTTTTTAAAATAGATTTATAGTATTTTAAAAGTTTTTGTGATAAAAAAATAGAAAGAAACACCCAGAGTTTTATTTATTTTAAATCTTTTTAAATAACGCCAATTTTTTTATTTATACTTTAAATAAAAGATTTTTTTAAATATGGTATCTGAATTATGGAAATGATAATTTTGCAAAATGCGTTATCTGCGGAATCATCTGAGTCTGCCTTCAGTACGGCAGGAGATATAAATAGTCCATATCGTAGAATTTTATTCCCTGAAAATCTGGAGGCTTTCATATTTATTAAAAAAATCTAATATATTATAATTTTATATATTAAATATTACAATTTTATAATTCATACCAACATAAAATGGATATATTATTAAATATATATTTTTTTATTATAGTCTTAATTGTAGAAATAAAAAAATTAAATTAAATTCATAATTCGATTTTTTGCATAAAAAATATTGATTTGTTAATTACATTTGGTTCAAACGGGGGTGATTAAAAATCAGTATAAATATCGGATTGGGTTTGAAGCAATATCGGAAAATATTGGTTCGGATCGGTGAAAAATATGTGGATCGGCACAGCCCTACTTTTAATTATAATGGTTAAGTTCTCCTTTCAAAAATTTTAAAAAGAATAACTTAAATTATTTTAGCTCTACTACCAACTATCAAAATAATGTGAATATATTTTTTATATAATGAATTCAATATAAAACCTCCTCATTTACAATGAATGCATTATTATATCATATTGTTTGGCACGAATATGAGTTTGCTGAGAATGTCTAACCCTTTTAAATTGTAATGTTTATGATTGTTTGCAATATATAGATTTGATCGATGATCAGCAGTATCATTGTATTATAATAGGTTTATAATAAAAATATTAATTTTTGCAGAAATATTTTGTCTTATTTCATCCAAAAATTTAATAGCTAACTCCCCCCCCCCTTCAATAAATTTATCCTACCCTTAAAGGCGCCTAGCGCCTACTCCCCTCAAGGAAAATTGGATACGACCTGTTCCTACTTCCCACCCCCGCTCATGTACACGCTGAATAAATCCACTAAAATTAATCACAAAACATTGTAGTATATTAAAACCACTTCTGAATCTAGTCACTTGCCCCATTTTGGTTCCAAACTTTGATTTTAATGTTTTTTTTATCGCAATATATAATTTGTGTTAGATGTCTGCAATTGGCGCGCGCCCGCTCTTAGTTTTTTATAAACCCATCCGCTCTGTATTTTTTTAAATAAAATTTATCTGCTCAAGCACACATATTTTTATATAAATTAATATTAAATTACCATTTATTTATTAAGTCAAATCTTATAATAAAATAAAAATTATTTTTAAAAATATATACCTTGAAGGAAAATAAACCCTTAGAAATAGTTATTAAACGAACATTCATTCATTTTATTACATTAAATATAAGGTTTCTGTGGATTTTATGAATAAACCATTTTTAAATTAGATTGAATTGACTAAAAAGAATTCTATCATAAATACTTTTACATTCTTAATCTAAGTTTATAATTTATGATTAAAAATTTTAATAAAAATATAATTTTTAATGAATATAAATATAATCGTTTTGTTTATTTCGCCTGTTGTTTTAAAACTACCCGTTGTTTTAAAAATATTTTCAATTTACCTACTTATTAATAAATAAAATTACCCGAGGGTTGGCTAAATACAGGCCTGTAGCAGACCACTAATTTATATCCCATAAATATGTAACTAGTAGTTAGTTGCCTTTAGGTTCGAAAAATCGATTATAAATTAGAGGTCTGCATTGGGCGGGGTTTCGATACGCCCACTAACACCCGCCCATTAAAATTTTTTTAAGAACGGTATGGCGGAAAAATTTTTAAACTATGGGCGGGTTAAGAAATTTAAATATGGGTTGGCGGGTTAAAAAAATCTAACTTTTTTGGTAGCTATAGCTAATAGCGGCTACTTTTTTTGTAATTATTTAATTTTTTAGCGCGCTACTTTTTTTGAAAGTAGCTAACTAGCCGCTACTTCGCTACTTTTAAAAAATATAATGAAGGTAAGATAAACATGAAAATTTAAATATAATATCATAATTAATTATAATTTTTATGATTTATTATTTAATTTTGAAATTGAAATATAATTTCAATTTGTAATTTATATTTTCATTTGTAATATAAATCTAAATCACATGTTAATAATTTAAAATGTCATCGCCTATGGATATCCAAATCGTTGAAAGTGATTCAAACAATGATATTAATGAAATGGAAGATACCAGGGAAGAAAATGTTCTTAATAGCTATAATACAAATTTCCCAAGATTTGAAAATTTTTTTAAATATATATAACCAAAACTGGTTTCAAATTTATTTGTTTAAAATGTAAAAAAAAATATTTCCTCAAATCAATCCAGTAGCTATAACCTCAAGAAACACCTAAAGGTAAATTGTCATTTTTACATTCTAATAATATTTATTTTATAAGACTGTTCATGAGTTTTAAGAAATGGAGAAACATCTAAATAATTTTGGTATTGGCGACTCTACATCCAAAAAGACTAATTCGATTCAAATCAAATTATTCAAATCAATAAAGGAAATGACAATATTTCTCAGAAATTGGCTGATAAAGTTATTGTTGATTTTATAATTTATACAGTTGAGCCAATGTCCTTAGTTGATAATCAATCATTTACCATATGATTAAAACTATCCCCTGGTACAATTTTATGCCGCCAGACACTAATGAGCACATAACTTTAAAATGATGAAAGATGCTCATCATATATATGTACCACGGGAGATAGTTGGACAAATAACAGAAGGTAAAAACTTATTTATATTTACATATTGATCTGATTAAATATTTTTGAGCTTATTTGGGAATCATAGGCCATTGGCTAGACCCTAGGATTTAAAAAAAAAGATCTGTGGCATTAGCCCTCAAAATGATAATAGGATGCCAGACATACGATGTACTTGCAAACAAAATTATTGATAATCTATCTTATATTAAAAATATGTATATAAGATTAAATACGCTCTTACCCTCAAGAGCTAGTGCCGAGAGATTATTTAGTAAGGCAAAACTTATACTTTCTGATCATCGCTCTAGACTTGGGGATGATAATATTGAAATGATTTTATTATCAAAATGCAAATTACCATAAATATTTATTTATATTACATAAATTTTTTTATAATCTAAACTAACTATATTTTAATATTTATAAATGTTGATTTTTATATATTTACTATACAACAACATTATAAGCAAAAAAATAAAAAATTTGTTTATAATTTTTTTTTATAAAAAGTAGCTAATAGCGAGCTACTTTTTTGACAAATAGCGATAACGGTAGCGCGCTACTTTTAAAAGTAGCGTTTAACAACTCTGAAAAAAATTATTAACATTTAAGTAAATGTTAATAAAAAAATTTCTTTATGAATTTTTTGGATATTAAAAATTAAAATGTCCTTTTTTGGTATCATAAAAACTTTTTTCTTAAAATAAATAAACTTTTTTGTACATTTAAAAATACTTTGGTGGGCACTACAAGAAAGATAGCAAGAAAAATATTGTCCTGCAACTAGTGCTTCTTTTGAACGATGATTAGCATTGCTAGAAGGTTTTTAACAAAGAAGAACGTGTTTGAATCCAGGAAATGTCGATTAATTATTATTTTTGCATTTTAATTACATATAATATCAATTTTATATTTATATTTTTGTTCATAAATATTTTATTTGATCAAATAAATTATCCATAATTTAAATTGAATATTTTTTTATGCTTAATATAGTAATTTCCTAAATTATAAAACTTAGAGATGTAATGCTGAAATATTTTTTATTAAATGCTCTAAAAATTGAAAGAATGGCCATATTTTATAATAGCGGGCTTGGGTTAAAATTTTTTTATTAATAATTGGTGGGCGGATAAAAAATTTTAGACTAATGGGTGGGGGGCGGTATATTTTTTTAAAAATTATTGGCGGCCAGGGTAAATTTTTTTTATACATTGGGTGAACTGGCTTGTGGTTCAAATACCCGCCCAATGCAGACCTCTAATATTAACTTCTGAAAAATGGCTACTAGATTTTTTAATAAAATGATAAATATATGTCGATCACAAATCTAAATAATTATGAGTGGTAATTTTTTAAAAATAGTTTTCTGAATCTACACGTCACTTTAGTATTAACTGCTTTACTATATATTGATATTTTCGGGCCAAAACGTGCACCACGAACTGTTGGAAGGGAGAGGAATAAACCACTATCGATGTTGCGGGTATTTTAGAGCCTGGGATAAGGGGCCCATTTTAAGGCTAGTCTTAGTTATAAGTTAAAAATCTAGAATTTAAAGATAACACAGAACTATTTATTATGGGAAAGATGTAAAATTTCTACGAGTTAAAATAAACGAATTTGCAGAGTTATTAAAGTATCTAGATATAAAAATGTCGTCTCTGTATCTAGATTTTATTTTAGAGGTATCTGTATCTGTTTTTATATACTTTTAAGATACATTTTAAATTTTTATTAAATGCTTTTTATATTATAAATAAAAATATTTGAATGCAAAATTTATTTTGTTTCATATGAAAATATATTTTAAATATATATATTAAAAAATATTAAGACTACTATAATAAAAAATTATATATATATAAAATATTAAGACTTATATAAAAAAAATATTATGTCCGAATTTATCAATAACCTAGACAAATTTTGATATTACAATGCAACTTAATCTGCCATTTTTATTTTCAATGGAATTGGTTAATTTAATTTTATTATACTAATTTTAAAAATATATTTTAGATTAATATTAATAGTGATGAAGAGTAAGAAGTTTCAGACATTGTTTTTCTATGGCCAATTTATAGAGCATATTTTAAAAAGATATCTCAAAATAAAGAAAACAAATCTCTGATAGTAATATGTTTGCCATATCTACCAAAAAATACGAAAATTTCAGTTAGCATTACCTCAACTTGCAACATTGTAAAATATTTAAGGGTATAGATACTAAATAAATGTTTACAATTTTAAATTTTAAGAAAAAGAAATCAAACACTGTTAATAAAAAAAACAATTAATACAAAGATTAGTTGATGAATTATCAAGGTCTTTAACTGATTGCAAACAAATAACCCGTGAAAAAAAAACAAATTCAATATCCGATTTTTTTCAGCACCCCACAGCAGTAGGATATGATTATTAATAATGATTTAAATTTTGATACTCTACAAATTTTAAATAATTTTTTTAAAAATTAATATCGAGATTTTAGTATTTTTAAATATCCTGATATAAATATTTATTCATAAAATATACACCACAATCCCTTCAAGCGCCTTGGTAGAAAGACTTAGGTAGCTAAAATTGTCTTTACAGATAAACGAAGATGCCTTAATGACAAAAATTTTGAAAATATTTTATTACTGAAATTTAAAAATTAGTTATAATCATTTAATCATTATTCATATATTATATGATTATATTAAAATCTAAAAATCATTATTTTAATTATATTATTTTGATAAATGCAATATCGAGTCAATAAATTTTTTAGCTCATTTCATGCATTTTCACAATAGAATCTATTTACGATTATGCAAGGCTTATATAAGAGTATAATCAAAATGTATCTATATCTAATACAGTTTTTAAAAATGTATCTATATCAAGATAATTTTTTAGGCTATGTATCTGTATCTAGATACCCTTTTAGCCAATGTATCTGTATCTTTATATCGATCTATTTTAAAAGTATCTTTTGACAACTCTACTAATTTGTCACGTGAATTAAAAACTACAATTTCAAATAATTTGTTAATTTCCATGATTAAAAATTAAAAAAAGAACAGGGAAATATATTTAATGATTCCTATTTCACTTTTTTCCTTCTATTTATCAAAATCAAGACAAGAAAAACGTCAATAAAGACAATCTCTTTCGAATGGTTTGTTTTTGTGATAATATATATAAATCGGAAATTTTTTATTATCCTACTATGTAATTGCATAAAAATATAATGATGTCAAGGATGCTAACAAAACGAAAATGTATTTATCACAAACAAAATCAAAACGTCGTTTATTTTTTTTTAAAATTTATGTCGCATAAAAAAGACAAAAAAAGCTAATGGTTTTTAATGACTATTTTGTTTAAATTATTTGTAAGAAAGCAAAAAGTAGCAAATAAGAAAAAATGCTATTAATATAAGGCTATGTCTTCGCAGGCTATTAAAAATTTGCATATTCGCGCATTACTTTCGCAAAATTTGAAAACAAAATAAACAGACGTGAGTGACTAAGCAAATATTAATGCATTTTTTACGCGCATTGAAAGCTTTTTTTCGCCACATATCATATATTGCATTTTTACGAATTCGTAATTTTGAAAAAAATATATGATGGGTAAATTACTGTTATAACATCTAAGGCATGAGAGGTAACAATTATATTATATCTTGACCCAAAGTTAAAAAGAAAAATAGAGTAGACACCATTTCGCGCTAAAATAAATAGCACGAATAAAAATCGCGTATTCGCGTTTTTAAAAATTTCCTACAAAGACAAAAACCTAACTAAGTAAAAACATTTTAATACTTTTTATCACTAGTTACCGAAAATATTGGGAAAATCTAATTGGGCTCCTTTATCACAATCTAACGTCATTACAAACGCCAATAATATCAATATCCACCAAAGCAATGTAAGTCAGAATCAAACCAACAAGATTCAACACATTAACATCGCGGTAAACCTGTTAGGATCATATTTTTATTTTAAATATTTAATAAAAATTAATAAGTTTCTTGAAAGTGGGGAGTAATCAGAGTTGAGCAGTACTGCAAATACTTGTATCTAATATACAAGATCCTTCTGTATCTTGTACTCTGTGTCTTTTTGACATTTTTAATAAGATACTAGTATCATTAGCTAAGATCCTTTATTCTCAAAAGAATTATGTTACTTTTTCTTTTCTTGACAAAAGATAGATTCTTTTTAACATTCATTTTAAAAAAATTACAATAACAGAATATAACCTTATTTTTTCTTGGAATCTTGTATTAATTTACTTATTTTTATCCACCATATTTTAAATATATTGACATTAAAAATTAGCTGCAAAATTTTTACAACTCATATTCAGTCTATTCCAATTTAAATGGTAATAATAATTTTATAAAAGTAAGTATCTTTTTGACATTTTGAATCGATACTAGTATCTGTATCTAAGATCCATTTATCTATCCATAAAGAATCTGTATCTAGATTCTTTTTCCGGAGGACTTGTCCAACTCTGAGAGTAATTACTAATATTTAAATGGTTAGATTACCTCCACGACTTTTGATCTATTAACATTTGTTACATTAACTCATATTGGATTTTAATTTTGAAATTCTGCATTTCAACAGGGTAAAGGACTTGTAACATTACCTCAAGGAGCTACCTTATTAAAATTAGTTAATACGAGTGCCCTAAATCAAACTAACAATCTAATGAATTATTCCGCAAACAATTTTAACATTATCAATAGTATTAAAACTCAAGTCTCATGTTCCGATGTTAAAATACCTACACTTTTATTACCACAAATAAAATCACAGGATTTGGTATTAAAAGAATATATATTTTAACATTTTAGGAGATCGCAATGCCTTGCCTGGTTTTTTAAATAAAATTTAAAGTTGTTGTGTCCATAAGATTAAACTATTTTGACAAATATTTAGACCGAAAGTGAGGTAAGAATTAAAAGACCATTTATAACTTTTAATTAAAAAAAATTCAAAATATTTAACCTGATTTGAAATATTTTAATATATTAATTAAATAATTAATTACATAAATCAAAATTCTTTTAGAATTCGTCCCTTTTCTCTAGTTTTGCTAATAATCCTACTCATTCCTTAGTGCAATCTCAAAATTTCATCGGGATCAATGTGTCATCTGAAAGTACAATTGGTATGAAAACAGAATTCACGGACACTCAAAATAGTTTTATATAAAAAATTAATATATATACAACCTAGTTTCATATAGTCAAAAATATTATTTTTTTTAGTCAAAGATTTTTATACAAAAATAAATATATTAGAAAGATTATATATTTTTTTAAAAAATACCTGGGTCAAGCTGTATATTTTTAAACTAAATATTTTTAATTGATTATTAGCTATAAAAATTAGAAATAAATGTAATATATTTTTTAAAAAAAGCTAGTAAAATCTGGGCCAAAGCCTAAAAAATTTTGAAAAAACATCCGGCTTGGGTTGGGCCACACAGATGGTACCTTTACAGGTCTATGATTAATATAATATGTTATGAATTTGGATTTAAAATTTCTGGTAATTTTCACAGTGGCTTCCCATGGGAATTTTATGAATAACTTGAAATTTAAGGGAATCATTGATATTGCATGAATTGTAACCAACAATTTCAATACTATACTTTATTATATTCAAGTAACAACATATAATAAAAATAGGCATTAAATATTTGAATACATTATCAAACTTGATTTCACTCGCACTATCATCAACCCTTTCAACACCATTATCATCTGAATCCAATATTTTAATTTCTGATAAACTATTTTCTTCCAAAAATTGATTGTTTCTGGATAGTATTTCAATTGCTGGTTTATTAAGTATAAGTTATGCCAAGTTGATACCAACATTTTTCCCTTTTTATTTCTGGGTTTAGTGTGTTTCCCAAAAATGGCCATATACGTTCTGATGAAGCACTAGTAGGAGGTATTGATGAAATTCTTAAAGCATTTGTAGATAATGATTGGGTTGTACAGACCCTTTCCACCATGTTATTGGAATGAGATATCTTACACCATATCAAATTCAAGAGTTTATATAATAAAGCAGTCTACTAATAAGCTTAGATTATTTTAAATAAATGTATCTAAAAATGAATTCTTTATTAAATATGTTAAATCTTAGGTTAGCATTGAAAATAGTAAAAAACAAATATGATGATCCCTAAATGGAAATACTTAGCGTGAATAATTTATAACCCAGAAAATATTTATCAGCTATTGGTGTGCTTGATAATTCCATCCCACATATGTATAACACCAAAATCTTGAGATTTTATATTATAATTATTTAACAAATTATATTAAAAAATTAACTCAAGAATGGCAAATTACTTTAAAATTAAAAAATATAAATAACATTCTTAGAAGAATTAAATCATACCTAGATATAATTAATCTACAATTAATAAAAAAGCTTAGTATAAACAAAAATGATTATAAATTTACAAAATAAATTTTACAATTATTGGGAAAAAAAAATAATATTAATAAATCACAATTATATAAAGTCATTAATTTTTGCTGTCTTTTATTGATTGAGATCCAAGTTCCCTTTTAGTGTCAACGTTATAATTGGGAGAAAAATAGTCTAAGTCTATCCTATGCATAGGATATTCAATTAGGGGGTTTCGGTCATTGAGAAGTTGCATTTATGTTGAATAGTTAATTAATTAATAACATGGATATGGAAATTTATCTATTTTGAGAAAGATATAATTAAATCGATAATTTTTATTTTTATTAAATTTTGAATACTTAGAGAACATCATTGGAAAGCATTGAATTCAAAATTTTAGCCTCTTTAGTTCATGAGATATTAAATGGTCAAAGTGAAAAATGACCTTTTTCAAATAAAAAAAGATTTTTTAAAATGGCGATAAGTTTAAAAAAATTGCTAAAAATATAAATTAGGTACCATTTTTATAACTATATTAAAGACATAATGTTGCAGTTTTTATTTACTTTATAAATTTTGAACCTAAATTGAATATTTTATTAATTACTTATATTATATCTATTTATAAAAAAATTTAAACTTATACTGCTATGCATTTTTTAATTATCGCAATTTTAAAAATAAAATTTTCGAAAATAGATGGTGCTCCAATATAAAATAAAATAACGCATTTTTGTTAAAATTATTATTTTTAAAATTTTTTTTTGCCATTTTTAAATATAAAGATTAAGATTTTTTTCCAGTTTAATATTGCGAAATGATATATAAATCTGATGGGATCTAATTTTTATTTACAAATATAATTAATATTACTTTTTTAATCCATTTATTCCAATCGCATTTGATTGATTTTTTTAAATATAAATTCTATAATCCACCAGAAAAAATTCATAATTTTTCTGATAGATCAGCAGAACAATACAAAAATAGGAAAAACTTCATCAATGTTTGTTACCATGAAATTGATTTTGATATTTTTTCCACGTAATATGGTAAAAGTGCCACAATGGCATAAGGGGCACAGTAAAAACGTTAATTACTATGGCTCGCTTACAAAGACATTATTCAGATCAAATAATTACAACCTTACATTATTTCTTTTTCACCTTATGTGAATTGTATTTTTTTTAAATTTTAAATCGAATAACATCATTTTTCACATAAATAATACTGTGTGACAAATTTCGACTTGATTTTTTGGGAGAAAATAAAATAAACATGTTTTAAGAAAGTTTTTTATGCATATTCTAAATCCGCTGTCAGTTTTTTCTAGCACGTCAGGTTTTTTATTTATTTTAGGTTAAAGTGGCCAAAAAGGTCATTTTTAGCACTTTTTGAAGGTTTATAACTTCGGTTCTAATGATCCCTACAACTAAAAAAATATCTTAATTTTTGCAGCAAACCTTCCTTATTATTATTATCATTTTTTTTTATAAAATCCTTACTCAATTTTTAAACAACCTATATTTTTTAAATTTACCTTTATTTATAAAATCTTTTTTAATATAGCTTACATTTAATATATTTGTTTATTGTTTTCGTTCTCTTCGCTACACTGCACACGGTACGATTCACAAACAATTTATTTTAAATGAAATAGTTATATTTCTCATATTTAAATAAATATATGCTAAGCTAACCTATCTCATATTTTACTTTTAATAAACCTTTTATCGGTCCGTTGTCCCACCCCCTCCTTCATTATTATATAGGATTTAACTTGTAATATACAATAAATTTATTTAATTTAAAACAAATTAAACAATAACATAAAATTTATCGAATTTAAAAACATATAATGGTAAATCTAAATATATTTCCGCGAATATGAAGTTGATGATTTATCTTCAAAAAAATACTCCAGCAGTAGTCCGCCAACATATTTATACGATTCTTGCCGTGATAAAACTTTTCGAGATTTTCTATCTGTTGATGGAACCACTCCCCCATTTCTTCTGACACAGTACCTAAGTTTTCAGGAAAAAAATCTTTATGGGAATGAAGAAAATGGATTTTGAGGGACATTCGGCATTCCATTTCCTTATAATTTGTTAATAGGTCATCAATTTTCTCACGATAGTCGGCTGATTTATGATTCCCAAGGAACGATCTGCATATCCATTTAAAAGATTCTCATGCTTTTAATTCAATGAGTAACAATTCATCTTCAAAAAAACTGTCCTTCATGAGTTTTCTTATTTGGGGGCCCACTAAAATCCCCTCTTTTATTTTTGCTTGGGAAAGCTTGGAGAAAAAATTTCTAAGGTATATCGTGGGGCCCTCGGACAATTTTTTGATAAAATTTTTGATTAGTCCTAATTTTATGTGCAACGGAGGCAACAAAATCTTATTTTTAGAAACAAGCGGGATATTTACGCGATTTTTTTCAAGAACGTTGGGACGATCCTCCCATTCAGATACTGTATAATGTTTTAGAGTTTCTCTGGAATTCCAGAGACAAAGAAAACACGAATGCTTGGTGTAGCCTAACTGAAGGCCCGTCAGGATTGCGATCATTTTGAGATCGCAGCATATCTTAAATTCGTAATAATTTATTTTTGACAATAAATATTCCATATTTTCATATGATTCATTTAACTGGTTGGAATAGGCGATGGGAATTGATGGCTTAGAATTTCCGTTATGAAGCAAAACTGCTTTCAAGCTGTTTTTACTTGAATCGATGAACAAGCGCCATTCATCGGGCACCAATTCAATATTAAGTTGTAAAAAAAGTTGACCTAGATTGTTGGAATAGTATAAAAAATTTTCAAGAGAATAAATTTTTAAACGATGCTCCACGGAATCGGTATGAAGTTCGAACTCCATTTTTTTAAATTTTAAAATCATTAAGCCTTGAGGCTAAAAATTTGGACTTTCTTTTTGAAAGTTGTAAATTTCTGGTTATGTCATTTAGTTGCTCTTGTGACATAAATGGCGAATCCTCTTCGGGATGATACTCAAGATCAATATTGTCATTGTACTGTCAACGTAATTTTTCCAGCTGCCAACTATTAAAAAAAGTAACTGTTGTATGCATATTATATTTTATCGGATAAACGACCGAAAATTTCAGGATAACGAATTTCCTTCTTATTTTTTTTGTTAAACCCAAATGTACTAATCGAGCAAAAATAACAATCCCACGAATGATTTCTTGCTACGTGCCAAAATGCAGGTTTCGAATAAGGCAAATATGACCGTTTTCCATTTACCCATGAATTAAAAGAATTATAACATGTTTTACATATGTAATTAGGGGCAAATGGTTTATCCAAATCGCAGAGTGGAATATTGTAATAAATTTAATAAATCCTTTGAATGATTGGAGAAATTGGACATTTTTGTGCGGGCAATATATAACCCGCACAGATGTAACAAAATTTAGAGATACATTTTAAACAAGGGGACCTCGGCACTAATTTTTTGTAGAATATTATATAAGGAGGGAATTTGAATAATATTTAAAATCCAATTTAAAAAAAAATTAATGAAAGAAATTAAAAGTTTATGAAAAATTAAGCGCAAAAAATGATTCTTCTCCTTTCTTCCTACTCGTTATTTGGCATTATTATTTATTTCCCATATTACGGGTTCAAGGTACTCCATTGGAAAATCATATATTTTGATATAAATTAAATAAAAAAACAAATATTCTTATATACATCTAAAAAAGATAAATATTTATAAAAAATATGAAAAAATATGAAA